TGTGACGATATGAGAAGGAAGAACATTCCAGACAGGTAAGAGCAAGTGAAAAGGTCCTGAGGCAGGAGTGTGCCTGATATCTTTAAGCAATCACTGGGATGCCAAGATGGCTGGAGCAGAGAGTGCAACGAGGAAAGAAGTGGGAGATGAAGTCATGAGGGGCCTTCCCAGATCATAAAGGAACTTATAGATCAAAGAAGGACCTCGACTTTTACTCTGAGCGGTATAGAAAATCAGTGGAGGACTTTGAGCAGAGAAGTATGATGCTTCGATTTATGTTTTAACAGAATCACTCTGGCCGATGTGTTTGTGGGGGAGAGAGACTGGGCAGATGCATGGAGACCTGTTAAGGGGCTATGTAAAAATCTGGAGAGAGATGACGGTAGTTTGAAACAGGATGGTATCAGTGGAGATGGGTGGTGAGATCAATTCTGGAAACCTTTTGAAGGGAGATCCAACATAATTTGATGATGGATCAGATGTGGGGTGTGAAAGAACAAGGGCAGGCATAGATAGCAGCAAGGGGTTAATTTTTTTCCAAAGGGAAAAATGGAGTTGCCTTTAACTGCGATGGGGAAGACTGCAGGAGGTACCACTTTGGGAGGGTATGGGATTTCAGGAGCTCGGTTTCAGACATTTAAATTTGAGATGGTTATTAGGAATCCAAGGGGAGGTAACCAGTAGGCAGTTGGATATAGAAGTCTCAAGTTTTGTGTGGAGTTTCATGGAGACTTCGGAATTTAAATGCAAATTTGGGAATTGTCAGCATATAGATGGATTAAGACTGGATAAAACCACCAAGGCTGTGGCCATGAAGAGGGAAGAATTCCAAGGATGGAGACCCAGAGGACGCCAACACGTAGACCTTGGAGAAGTGAGGTAGAACCAGCGAAAGAGACTGAGATGCAGTATCAAGAGAGGGTGGAGGGAATCCAAGAGAGTGCAGTGTTCTGGAAAAAGGAAGAAAACATATTCAAGAGGAGGAAGGGATCGGCAGTGC